TCCACCATCTACCTCCAACAGCCCAGAACACCAGATGGCTGAAGGTTGGATCTGGTCAACTGGGCCCAGAATTGTCTCATGTAGAATGTGAACATTTCTTGAAACTCTTCAGAAGTCAGGAAATACAGAATTAACTTATTTCATGAGCAGTTTAATTACAAAGCCAACCTATTTAAAATAAGTACTTTATTAACATGTTTGTGTTCCAAGAGTTCTAAAACCACAACAGGTAATATTGTAGCAATTCATTCCATATTCTGAAATACATTTTTCCAATTGACTCAGTATGGCAATTTTCACCCCTTCTTTTTTTAAAGAAGGGGAAAAAATCAGTATTTTAAATATACTTGTTCAATGGCACTAATTAATGAGCATATAGGTTTTTAAATAATGCCTTCATGTTTCAAAATTGAAATATCTATATACTTGAAAATGTACCTGGAATGTGTAAGGATGACTCAACAGATAATATGAGACTTTTCAATAATATTTTGAAAGTACAGCATAATTGATCTCTATTGCTATTGGTAATTCTTCATTCTCATACATAAATCATTTACTTTTTTGCATCCAAATAAAATAATATAACTTAAAGTCAAATGTATAGGACAAATAGGCTGAGAAGTAATAAATACTTGTTATACCCAGTTATAAATCCACGTATAAAGGTTTTGTGTCTTCCAATGGATGTGCCTTCTGTTGAAATGTGCTCTATGTTTTCATGTTAAGCAAAAGTTTCCTCCTTTTACAATATCATATTAGGATCTCATATAAGTTCCATTTCAATCAACTACACTAACAGAGTTGTCTTCAACTTTGCTCATGTAAAATATGTCACATTTAAGAAAAGACTCTCCTTTCCTTTGATTAAAGCATGACAAGCACAGAAGAGAATATTTTGAGTTCATATCAGGAAGGTGACCTAAAGTCATACAGACGAGTTGAAGTAGAAACATATATAAATAATTACCTTAAAATGACATGTGTTTTTTAAAATGTTCAGACACTGGCAGGATGTAAATGATAATATTCCTTGTATTGTTCCAAAGAATATTAAACATTTTGGACATGTTTACATAACCGTGTTTGTTAATAAGGTAAGAATAAAATAATCTATTCACATTAACACAACTGTAAAATTATATTTAAAAAGTAATCTAAAATTTAGAAACTTATACAGAGCTGAGTTATGTTCTCCTTGATTTTCCATATCTAGAAATACTAGATTCTGAAGTGTGATCAACATGGTTCTATCATCTTCTGTTCTTCGCTATGTGGCCCCATGAAATGTTAACTCAAAACTTCTACATACTGCAAAACTCAATATGAAGACTGGAGAAAAAGTGAATTTCTTCAGATACAGTTTAACAAGTTTTGTTAAGTATAAAACACTAATACATATAAATATTATTTATATGTATTAGTGTTTTATATCAGTCACTATTTAAGAAATTAATGAATGTTGCATTTGTGCTTGTAACAAATGACAATATATTCTAGATATCGATGCATTCATTTGAATGCAAAGTTTAAGTAAGAGATACCAAATGTTACACTATTGAGTAGATGCATCATTAAATATTTTATCAAGGAGGTCCAAATAGCTCAAGTGAATCCTTCAGAGATTTATCAGTGCATGACATTATGAGAAGAAATGAACATTTTGACATTTAATGTATTGTTTTACTAACTTTAAAATACAAAATTAAAGTGATAAGAATGCTGAAATTAGTAAATGAAATTTCATGATAAGTCTTCTATTTAGGCTAAACAGAGAAGATGGTTTATAAATTAGAGATATAGGTAGTGGAGTTAAGGAAAGTTTTGGGTTTTTTGTTTTCATTCTTTCTCTAAAATAGATATTGTGGCATTTTGGAGATAAAAATGTAGCATCTGACCTTTAAACTTCTATTTCATTAATGTAACCACAAGCAACAGAGTCACTGACTGACATGTTTGCACTTTCAGGCCTTTGGCTCTTAAAGTTATTTGATAACTGTTATGTCACTCTTTGCTTTTTATTGGAGACACCTTGAGGGTTGTGTTAGATTAAAAATGGAGTACATTGTGTAAAACTTAATAAATGATATGATGTAATTCAGTAAAATATTATCTTGAGCATTAGATTTCTGTACTTTAATTGGGGGGGGAGTCTATAGTTGAGGGTAAATTTTGTTTATTTTATTTTGTTTTCTAATGAGTTCCAGAATAACAACAAAGATGATTTTAAATATGCAAAGCAAAAGCATATATATATATATATATATATATATATATGTGTGTGTGTGTGTGTGTGTGTGTGTGTGTATATATATATATATCTGTAACATTACTTTTGATGAAAAATATGTCACCTGACTTACACTCAATTAGTCTTTAAGTTCAGTCTATGAAAAGAGTCAATACCAATTGCAGGAGAGAAGTAAAGAAAAATAACTGAGAATTTCTTGTAATTATATATGCTAAAGTTAATAGTTAAAAATCCATGGATGATGTAAAAAAAAAAAAAAAGGTAAAAAAGGGGGGGGGGTGGGAGGGCAGGGTTGTGCTCCCTAGAGAATTATAGAATTAGTATAAGCAAATTACTTTGGATAAAAAGTAATGCAGCTCAGATTTCTATTGCATATGACAAACAAAAAGGATTATTTTTTATTTTTTAAACACAATATAATTAGAAATATTATTTAGAAAAGACAGAGATTCCAATCTGTTTAAAAAATATTAAAAGTCAAAAGTTTCCTAAAATAATATATTGCAAAGTCAGGACACAGGAAAAGCAGGAGGGGGTGAGGTACAGTGCATTCCGTATAAGTAAACAAGATGCACAACACCGACAGCACTGGGTAGGTATCTTCCCCACTAGTTAGAGAAGCTTTAGTAATGAAGCAGTGAGCAAACCTGCCAAAGGTCTCCTAGAAGCAAATCTTGGGTTCAGCTATTTTAATTAGCCATAGTATTTATTAGGTGATCCATTAGAGGCGAAATGCCAAGATGTATCCTCAAAAGACAAGCAGTCTAGCAAACTCTTTAGTTTTGAAAATATTAATTATCATTACAAATAAGCAATATGCTTCTACAAACATATAGATTATGACTCCCATTATATATGTTTACAGCCTCTGAAAATAGTGTGTCATCCTTACCACTATTGTTCAAACTTTTAAAACAAACTTAATATAAAGAACATAAATATGGGCTTAATTTATAACCTTTATGTGACAAAGAATTCATTGCTTTTACTAACAATGAAAAGGTATTTTACAAGGTTATATATATTTTTTTAAAAAGTATGCATTACTATTGTATATACCAGTGGCTTTCTGTGTTCACAGCAAATATAAGAAGATATAGTATAAAAGCACATTACTAGTCTATATTAGATAATATAATAGTATACCACACAAATTTGGACTCCTAAGCATGTTTCAGAAGCTGTAAGTCATACACCACACCCAGATCCCAGATCATTACATTTAAAACATGTTACATGACCCAAACAGAAACATATCCCACTCTTTCATTTAGCCATTCCATGTATACTTATTTTGTGCAATCCACTCTTAGAAGCCAACTACCACCCAGTGGAGAGAAAGAAGATCTTTCAGGGAGATCTGAGGTGTACATCAGGTGGGGGTGTCGGGAGAGAGAAGGGAGGGCGATGGGGAAAGAAGGAATAAGGGTGTTTAGCCTTGTTTAGATCTAAGTACTGCTGATCATCCATTTATAGTTTCACAAGAGAGAAAAGGTACCCAGAAGCTCACTCCACAGTGGTGCTTAGCGGTAGCATCAGGCTATAGATGTTCATTAATGACAAAACATTTCAATGTTCAAGCTTAGGGGAAATGCTGGGAGAAGGGAGAGTGAGAAAAAGAAGTACAACTGAAAATTGAAGGAGGGAGGGAAGAGAGAATAGGAGATAGAGAAAACGAGAGAGAGAGAGAGAGAGAGAGGGGGGGGGGGTTGTACACATGTGTGAGTGACAGCATGTGGAGCAGTAACCAAGAGTGTGCCTTTTAAACAGTAAAAGAGAATCTGAATGTGAAAGTGGTTGTTAGACCATGAAAGAGCCGATGTGTGTGGGGATGTGAAGCAAAGAGTATGTGAAGGAGTGTATTTAAGAAAAAGAGATTTGCCAGAGTGGAAATAAAAGAAAGAAAGAAAGAAGCTGTACTGGAGTGTGTTAGAAGGAAGAGGCATGTGTATGTGGCAGGGAAAGGGAAGGAGAGAGGAAATGGGACTGAGGAGATCACAGAACAGGAACGCTGAGGAGGAACAAAAACAGGGAGCGGATGGGGTGAAGGGTAGGGGAAATGGGGTTAAATAATAGGATGCAGAATTAGAATGAAGGTGATTTAAAAAAGAGAAAATTGAGGATAAAATCGGAAGAGAATGAAAGAATGGAGAGAAAACAGAAAAAGGGGAGGAAAGAGGCAATGGATTGGGGGGGAGAGTAAGTAGAGGATGGGGGGAATGGGGAAAAAACGAAGAGAAGGGAGAAAAAAAAAAGGGTAAAAGCTGTCAAAGGAAAGAAAGCTGAAGAGGGAGAAATCGAGCCCAAGTGTCCAACCGAGAGGGGAAAATAAATGGGAGCTGGGAGCCAGCAGTTTCAAAAAGTCGCTTAGACTGGAGTCAGACAGAAACAAACCTGATAAACTTGTCAGACTCTCCACGAGTACCCGATGACAGTACAACAGAGACCTCGTGCACTGAGTTTCAAAGTCCCACCTGCCCCTCCTTCACCCGCACACCCCACTCCTCCCGGGGCTGCTGGGCGCCCGGGCAAAGTGCTTTCCCCCCAGCGCCCAGCTCACCCCCTGCCCAGGCGTCCAGGGGCCAGGGCTGGGGCAGCATCAGCACCTGCGCGTCTGGATAATGATCCCCCTCAGCGTTATTACTTGGTTTAAACAGGAAGGCAAATAAAAGGGGAAAAAAGAAAAAGGTGGAGAGAGAGAGAAAGACAGACGGAGAGACAAGTACGAAAAGCACGCCGTTCCTCCTACCTAAGCACCGCCGTGTCCCCTTTTCTGACCATCATGTTGTCCACGGCCGCCCAGGGGAAGTCCACGCTCTGTCCGGCCGGGAGGCAGGAGGGCAGGAGGCAGCACAGGCTGAGGAGCACCGCCGCCAGCCACTGGTTCGAGCAACAAGCGCCCTGCACCAACAGCATCATGTCCATCCCTGCGAGGGCTGCTCGCTCTCCAGAAGCTTTCCGCGCGCTCCCCACCCCCTGGCGCTGGCGTCTTCCCGGGAACCAGGCGGCGCGCCACAGGGTTTTTTTTTTTTTTTTTCCCTGTTTTTTTTTTTCCTCTTTCCCTTTTTTATTTTTTTTAATTTTTTTAAATTGTGTGTGTATGGATGGGTGGGTTTCTTTTCTTTCTTTCTTTTTCCCCCTCTCTAGTTGTTGGGTGTTGTTTCCCCGTCTCTTTTTCGCCTCCCCTCCTTTTCCTCTGCGCGGTCCCTCCCTCCCTCCCCTCCCACCCCCTGGCACCGCGCTACACCTCCTCCCGGTTGCTTTGGGCCGAGCCCGGAGTGTGTGTGTGACGCCCGGGCGGCTCGCACACCATCTAGCGAGGAGGCGAGCGCGCCGGCGAGGGAGGGAGGAGCGCGGAAGGCGGAGGCGGAGGCTGGGCGAGCGGCGGCGGCTGCAATCGCCGCGGCGGCAGCGGCAGCGGCAGCGCAGGCGGCGCGGGGCGCAGGGCGGCCGGCGGCCCCCGGCTCGCGCGCGCGTTGCCAAGCGGCCGTTTCCTTAGCAACCCCGCCCGGGGATTGGGGGATGCAACCGGGAGGGCGGGGGGGGATGAATGGAGGTGGGGGGGGAAAAAGAAAGAAAATGAAAATATCTATCAGGAGGAGGTATATCACAAGGATGCAGACTGCGGGGGGAAAGAGAGATGCATCCTAGACAGACGGCTTCCCTTCCTGGCATGGGCACCGCTTTGCTAGAAAAGTCTCCGTGTCGGGGCCGAGGAGGAGGAGGAGGAGGAGGAGGAGGAGGAGGAGGAGGAGAGCGTGGAGGAGCGCCTGGCTTTCCCCTCGCCAGTGCGTTTGTTTTATCTCGGGAGGCACTGCAACTTTCGAGTCCTCCAAGTTGGGGCCGGCGCCATCATGACGCCTGGGACCGGGAGCATTTGTTTGTTTCTTGTGTGTTCGTTTCCACCCTCTCCCGGGCGGCTGTGCTAAGGTGAAGGAGCAGCCGACTAGTTCACACTTTACCTCTTTTCGGAATTGGGCAGGGGCCGTGGGTGGGTGGGGCTGCTTTTGGAGGGGAGGCGCGGGAGGTGCAGACAAGGCTTTGCAGAGCAGCAGCTGGAGTGCCTCCAGGGTCAGTCAATATGGTTTGGAGGACGCCTCCCTCCCCCGAGTGTGTTGACAATAAAGTGTGCGTGTGCGTGTGTGTGTGTGTGTGTGTGTGTGTGTGTGTGTGATGAAAGTACAGAGTGTGTGGATGGATGTGAGTGCATGCTCTGCGCGTGCTCGTGTGTGTGCGCGCGCCAATCGTGCACGCGGGGCCCGCGCGCGCTCTGCACGCAGGCGCACTGAGCGGGGCCGGGAGGGTAGTGCTGGATGCAGTGCCGGGGAAAGAGAGACTACAATCCCGTGTTTTAATTGTGTGGAGCCCGGCCGTCGTCCCGTTATGTAAGAGGCCGTTTAACCCGTTTGAGCCCATCAGGCGAGATGATCAGCGCAGCGCGTCTGTGTCCAGGCAGGGCAGCAGGGTTCTCAGTTTAAGGAGTCACAGGACTGTATGTTTCACAGCCTCCAGACCAGCAGGGACAGGCTTCCTGCTCCGGGGGCAGAACCGAGACCCTGGCCCCTTTCACCCCCGCCCCACCCTGGCCCCTTTCACCCCCCCCCCTAACCCCCTTCCCCCCGCCGCAGCCCCTAAGCTGCTGTCCTGGCTCCACCGCGGAGTGGGGTGCTGGGCATGGGGCCGCCCCCTTCATTTTCTCCTTCTTCCCTTCTTGAATGCATTTCCAGCTTTAAGAACCTTTAGCTATTCCGGGTTGTTTGCAGATCATTGAGAGAGAGAGGAGAGAGAGAGAGAGAGAGAGAGAGAGAGAGAGAGCGAGAGCCGGAGGCTGCAGTCAATAGCAGTTACGCCAATCATACTGGTTCAGTGAGGAGTGTGGAAAGCCAAGCGGGGAAGCGAAGGGGAGAAACTAGGAGAGTAATTAAAAAACACGCTCAGCACCCCATTCCTCCTTCCCTTCCTCCACCCTAGCCTCCCGAAGCAGGCTTTAAAGAGGTTCTTCGCCCGATCTAGTTCTTCTTGGAAGAGATAAATAAAAGCCTCACAGGTCCCTAACTCGTTTTCCATGAAGCCGGCAGGGTCCCCTGGCAAGGCGCGCAGAAGCAATAGTCTCTGCAGGGGTCAGCATCCGGCCGCCTCCCCAGACCCGGCTCTTTACGAGGCGAGCGGGGAGTCGTTTTGCTTGGCGGCGGCGGCGGCGCTCAGAGTGGTGTTTATCGCGGTGCAGGAGGATCTGTGGAGAAAGGGAAGGGTTCCCATCACCGGTGACCACTCCACTGGCTGATGGGAGAGCCCCTAACCGGCATCATCTCGCTGATGCTGAACCTACACGCCAAGGCTTGGCAATTAACCAAAGCGTTTGCAGCAGGAGTTACTGATGTTATTAGTATTCCCGCCTAACTCTCAAACCCAGCTCGGATGTGGAGAGCGCAATGGTGTTCAACCGCATTTTGAAACATCAATAAAATGTTCGTCATTTGTGGATGAATGGAAACATTCTCCTTTGCAGTCTGGTCCGCCGGGGAAATAGCTGTCAAATGAGAGACTCCTGCTAATATCGATGCCAAATGCCAAATAACACTGTCATCTTGTTAACTGCTCTCTCTCTTTCTTTCTTTCTTTCTTTCTTTCTTTCTTTCTTTCTTTCTTTCTTTCTTTCTTTCTTTCTTTCTTTCTTTCTTTCTTTCTTTCTTCTGGTGTGGTACACTGATGGATAAAGCTTAAAATTATCTAGGGCAAATGGGGGATTAGAAACATCATCATGTCATGTACATGGGCGAAATTATGCCGCGTTATTTAGAATTCTCTCTAGAAATAACTGAGATCCGTTTGAAGAGAAGCAGAAGTCACAGCTTCCGGCATTCTGCCTTGGTTTAGCCCTGTTTTATGTGGGAACGGGGTGCCAGCTTTTTCTAGTAGAAGCTATGAAAAGCATCCTTTTGTAACTGCTGTTTCCCAGAGATCTGACATCTTCTGGGAGGAAGGAGGAGGGAGCTGGATTTCTGTGACCAGGGATGGAGCTATGCAGCGGTTTTAATATGTACAACAACCCACAGGCTTGTCAAAGGAAACTAGAACCACTTCTATTTAAAGGCAAAGAGTTTGTTTTCTTTATTTCTAGTTTTTGTTTGTTTTTTAAATCATCTTCCATTCACTGGTCGCAAAGCACTTAACTCTCACAAAACACAAAGGGAAGCAATAACCTAGTTTATCAATAGATATGTGGGCTAGTGGAGAGCTTATTTATCATACATATACATGGGTCTGTAACTACAGTACTTTTGCTGTTGAAGGGAGGAAAACAGTGTTTAAAATTTCTCTGTCTTCCTCCCTCCCCACCTCTCAAAGGGAATATATTTGAGAGGATTTTACAGTATTTTGAGATCCTAGATTTCTTCCCAGAACAGATTAAAATCCTGGCAATCTTGGCTCCTTCTGAGAAAAATAAAATAAAAATAAGAATATGAAAGAAAGAAAACCTCTCTACATGGTTAGCACATAGCTCCATAGTATAATTTGTTTTTAAGTATCAGAACTAGGTAACAGTATTGTTTGAACTTTCTAGCGGGTGTAATAGGATGGTTCCTTCATCATCGTTTTTGAGGAACTGACATCGGGATGAATTACTACTTTCTTTGAGTCTTGTACCTTTACTTTGTTTTCAAAGCTTGGTTTCTAATATTTGAAGAAATGTGATAACCGGTATGGAGTAAGTTTGGAAGGAGAAAGGTGGAGCCTGATTGTAATAATTGACTCTGCCATTATGTAGCTTGGTTTACACTCTTGTTTTTCAAGTCCCGTGACCTCAGTGTTGTTAAAAAGATAGTTTCATTAGTTTGATTTTTATTCCACAATGCAAATGAGATTATTATAAGGGGGAAAATTTAGACTCTAAGTTCACATTTGTTTCTGATACTGAGTGAGTAAACCCAGGAACCTTTGTTCATGCTATCACTGTCTAGGCACGGGGAATTTTAGGCAAACAGGTCTCAGGATCTAATGGAAAGAACTAATGAGATAACTTTGTAATTCCTGAAAGAGTCAGTCAGGAGGCTCTTCTAAACAGGACATATGGATGATAACTCCTTAACTCGGGCCATAATTGATTTTCTATTTAATTAAGCTAGTTTAAGCTTGGAGCACCTTATCAAATGAAGCTGACCTATTGTGATGATTTGCGGGTCACTCTGAGAACTAAGATGTTCAGGGGACTTGTTGGGGGTGGGAAAGTCTTCCTTTATAGAAAGGTTTCTTATTTAACACAGGCACTTTAGGTATTTGAGGCAGGTAACTGTGGTCAGTACTGCCTTGTACATTGGAAAATGTTTAGCAGCTTCCTGGCCTTGACACACTAGATGGCAATAGCACCAGTAGATGGCAATAGTGGTGATAACCAAAATCTCCCTGGATGTTGTCTAACTGTCTGTGGACTAGGGGAGAGAGGGCAGAAACTACCTCAGGTTGTGAAATTCCATTATAGATTACATTTATAAAAACATTCCATCCTGTGCTTTCACGTGAAATAGTAAAACAGATTTCCAGGAGGGAAAATATTTTATTTGAATTCAATAGCTCCCCAAGTGGCTCCCCTCCATTGATTAGATCTCTATATTCACCTGCCATGTGATGGAGTGACCTAGGTTAGCAAAGATGTAATGAATTTAAAGGTTTATTCTGAATGCCTTCCTATGATTTCTCTGTGGGAGCTTTTTTATTTATTGAAGTGATAGTCCTTACTTTTAAAAGCAATTGTCATTTTGTGGTTGCTTGGATAAAAATATAAGTAGATGGTGAGCTTCTTTCTTGCAAGAACTAACTTAAACCTTTATATTCTTTATATTCTGGTAGTGACAGAGACAAGGTACACAATCAGGAAATGGCTGTTCAATAAAGGAAAACATAAACAAAGTCAGTTCCTTATTAAA